GAGAGAGAGAGAGAGAGAGAGAGAGAGAGAGAGAGAGAGAGAGAGAGGAACAGAAATAAATGAAAAACTGAAAGGACAGCATCTTTTACCAAGAATGATGATAACTAATCCATTTTCTCAGTTAGATCTCTAGGCTTTTTATAACTTCTCAGACAGCTTCTATTTTTTAATAAGTGACCCAAGTTATTGACCTCATGTCTAGAAAAGCATTCTAAATCTGAAAGAAAGTATCTGATGCTCTTTCCCTTATTCCTACTACCCTTAGGCATGCATCTATCCCAATGTTTATTATTCTAGCACCATAATCTGTATTTTAAAGACTGTGAGGCATAGCATGGCAGATTCCACATGGCAGATTGCAAGGTGCATAGTATAAAAAACACAGTAAAAATTTTCTTTATATTGATATAAACATAAACTCAAAAGGAAAATATCAGCTGAACAAACTAGGTGCTCAATGCAAGACACTAGAAGCAACACTGTATTTTTGATGAGTAGAAATATAGATAGTATATTCTCGGAGTAAGAAAATAAGAATGATGGGAAGTGCTTATTTAAGGCAACAAATAGGGGATAAAAACAAAAATAAAAGAAAACTGTGAATCTAGTACTTTATCAGGTTTTTTATAAGAGTTCTACACAATAGATTGGGGATAATTCTTCTAAAGACAAGTTTTGTCTCTAATACCAATATGAGCACAGAAAAAGCACAATTGTGTTGTAAAAATATTAATAGCCTTACTAGTGAGTACAACAGCATTCCTTTCTTAAATTACGCCCTACCTCGCGCTCCTCTTCTTGCTCTTTGCGAATCTGCTCCAAACGAAACTGTTCTGCCATCTCTCTCTCATGAGCTTCTCTCTGTTAATACAATGAACAAGGTGTAAATATTTAATAAACATTTATATAAAAAATAATAAAACAAAGCAATCAAGCTCATATAGGATTGTGATAAATGTTTAATAGAGTACTGAATTCTGCTATGAGGAATTTTATTATTTTTGTTGTATTATATGATTCAACTGAGTTGCTTCTACTGGGATGCAGGAGAAGAAAAAGAAAGAAGTTATATCTAAAGAGCTTATTCAACATAATCGACATGGGTAGTGTGGTAATAGCAATTTTTTTTTGGAATAAGAATGGAAATAAAACTAACACCACAAAACATGAACTAGGCATGGTGACACAAAATCCTAGCACTCTGGAGGTAGAAGCAGGAGGATCAGAAGTACATTCATTTTTGGCTATATAGTGAATTAAAAGCCAACCCAAAATACAGAGACTGTTTCTAAAACCAAACCAAATCAAACCAAATCATCAACAACCTCCCACTCTACACAAAACCATCAGAACATTTCTTTTGCCCCCCACTTTTGATTCATTCTGCTCTCGCTCCCCCTCTTCGTCCCTCTCCCCCTCTCCATCTCCACCTCTCTCTCTGGCATAAATAAGTTTGTCTCTATGCCTTGATACTTTCTAGAGGCTAGCTTGTTCTACTGCCCATTCCTCTGTGTAGTTCACTGAGATTACCTGTAGAAAACATCCCCAGCACATTCCCATTTGCTGGCTCTTCAAAAAAGCTAGAAAGATAATTTTTTTTCTTTCCACTGAAACTTAGTTCATGAACGTTCAAAATTCCGTGGTTCCCTGATGCTTGTAGGACACTTGCACTAGGAGACAGACGTCTGTGGTCTTGACTTACATTCTAAGTGTTCTTTTGAGGGCATAAATGAGTCATCAGTTTTCAACCTAACAGCACATTTGTCATTCAAAAAACTTAAACATTTGGGCAGGTAAGTGACTTAGCAGGAAAGGGTGCCTGCTGCCGCATCTGACAACCTGAAGTAGATTCCTGGGACCTGCATGGTGAAAGTAGACAACTGACTCTTTCAAGGTGTCCTCTGACCTCTACACTCTGGCATACACATAGAAATAAATACACGAAAAAAATCCTGGTGGGTTTTACTGTTCACTAATTATAACATAAATAAAAGAGATACTAGGCTCATTTTGTTACCATTTTTATGATTCTAACACAACTTATTTTGTCAAAATGAATGATGATTTGAAAATTATGGGTAGATCTACTTTTTGTTAGTTGACTAGCTTTTTCAAATGAAAATTTAACATTTTTTTAGGGTTCTAAGTGATTAAAGAGAGAGAGAGAACAAGAGAGAGAGGGAGAGGGAGAGGGAGAGGGAGAGGGACAGGGACAGGGACAGAGACAGAGGGTGTGTGTGTGTGTGTGTGTGTGTGTGTGAAGGCATTCAGACAACCAAAGACTATTTAGAATTCAGTTCTATACTCCAGAAGAAATTTGACCAAACCCACCTTTGCTCTGTCAGCTTCAAGGGAAAGGCGATAGGCCTCATCTTGCTCTCTCTTCACATTTTCTCTGGCTTCACGTTCATCCTTAAATAAAAGATTCAGGCCAAGTTTCATCATTTTATTTTTAAAGAAAAAAAAAAAGAAAAACGGTCTTATTTTCTTTTTAAATAAATGAATGAATTACAATTAAACAAGGAGCTTCTAAAGTATACAGAAAAAACGAACAAGCAAGACGAACAACCTAGCTCTACTGTTTATAACCGACCATGTGACTGTTTGTAAGCATGACAACACCTCTGGAAAACCTCCATTTCCTTTATAGTAAATTGAAACACTGTGAGCTACTGTGAGAATTCACTGTAGTAGCATACAAACTGTAGTAAAGCATGGAACACTTAATTTATTTGCATAATTACAAGTTCTTCTCCCACTGTCTCCTGGTTTGGAGATTTTTTTAGCACTGATACTAAGGACTGGGAAGAAATTAAAAAACAAAAAATGCTGAAGGAAAAATACCCTTGTTAACCTTATTTCACACAACATCACTAAAATTTCAGTTGTTAAGACAAATAACCTCTCCTATTTTGGTTACTAGGTACTTCCCTACTACATTCATACTCAAATTACACAACAAACAGAGGTCATTTGTGTCAAAATCTTTTACAATATTTTGTGTGTGTGATCGAATTAAGTGAAGTCACACAATTTCAGAAAGAAATCATGTTCTCTCTCATATGCAGAATCTAGCAAAAAATATATGTACATGTGGTACACTAGAACATGAAGAAAAGAGAACCAGAAAAGCTAAACGTAAGAGGCTAGCTAGCCAATGAGCTCTAGAGACCCTACTTCACCTTCCCAGCCCTGGAGTTGCACACTGTAGTGACGAGCATGCTGGGGATCCAAACTCAGGTCCTCATGCTTGTGAAACACTTGCCTGACAGAGCCAGAGCCACGTGCTCTCTGAATACTTTGACCTTCTAAAGTGAGTAGACTATTTGCCTATATTGAACTGTTGATTTTATATGCAATTAAAAATTAATTAACTGAAATTTTTATTTGTAAAATCTATTAGAATATCCAATATACACATACCATGCCTGGCTACATATTTAAATTTAATAAATAACTGCACACATACAAGTTTTTCTTTCAGTCACTGTTGCATTAAACTGAAAAAATAGTCATAAATATTTGCCTACTTCTGACTTGTAATTGGAAATTTCATTTCTCTTTCCTTCCCTTTCAAATTAGTTATGTACTTTCTCAATATGGAGTGTATGTTAAGGATTCTCTAAAGTGCTCTCTCTGATACCTAGTCAAGACTGGCCTTCTCCATAAGGCTTTCTAATTCCAATAATATTTAGGTAATCATAAAGCAAAAACAGATATAATAATACAAGAAAATGAAACTTATACATAAAAATGGGCCTTAAAATGTACTAGAGATATATTTAGCAGGATATTTTAACTATGTAGACATATTTACCTCTAACTATATTTTTACCAACTGAAACTGGTAATTTTTCACTCCACTCTTTTTATGAGGTTTTATAGTGACTTGATAGCCTCAACAAGGCACATTCTGTTTTGTTTACAGGTTCATTCAATTAATTTATTATTCTGTAAATACCTTTCCTTAAACCATACAAGTTTATGCATAATGGCCACTTATCGATTTCATCTAAACCAGTTACTTTGTATTCTAGTTTCTTCATCATAACTGAGGAGGAGCACTGGGTGGGCTAGCACACTTGGGCACAATTCCTGCTGCTGTTGATAGTAATCTACATGAATGGGTACTGCTTTCTTTTTTACATGTCAATTAAAGCATCAAACTCTTATGGATCCTGTGTGCCCATGGATAAATATTTTCAAAATTATCTATCTCTAGAATGCAATCAACAAGTTATAAGAATAATCTTGCTCCTTTCTACATCTGCACTATGTAAATATTTAAGATATTTGAAATTTTAATTTGATCTTATTTTTCCTCACTTCACTTCTTTGAAGTTGGTCTTGGCTTCAGGAAATTCTGTGCTTTCCCTTTAAAGCATTTATTAAATTGCAATTATGTATCATATAGTTATTTATATAGGATCCTTCCTATGATACAAAGTAAGCATCACAAAGAGGAGAGTTTGTCTATATTGTATATTGCTATATTTTACATTCTCCTGACAGTTTCTGAGGTGTTTATTAATGTAAGGTAAATAAATGCATGTAACAGTGTGTGTTTGTGTGTGTATGTGTGTGTAGAGGTGCACTCATCTGTGCCAAGTGTCTAATGCTATTGTACTAAATCTTAGGTTTAATTTTTTTTAAACTCATCTCTCATATAATATTCAGTAGAAAGAAAAGGGTCCCAAGAGCAAACAGAGTCAGAGATACCCCTACTCCCACTGTTAGAGGAACCCAAAAACCCCAAACTAAACAACTATTACATATATGCAGAGGACCTAGCACAGGCTCATGCAGGCTCCATGATTGCCACTTCAGTGTCTGTGAGCACCTGCTTAGCTGATTCTACAGGCAGTGTTCTTCTGGTGTTCTTGATTAGTTTTTGAGAGAAAGTGTCTCAAATCCTAGGGTCACTGATTTGACTAGAATCCTTGTCCAGAAGCCCCTGTGATCTGCCTGTTTCTTATCTTCACTCTTGGGGTATACAGATACACACTTCCAGAATCCAACTTGAAGTCCTCATACACAGTAAATACTTTACCCACGGAGTTACTTCTCCAGAGCAACACCCCCAACCCCATTTCTAACTTTCTTTGACATGTTCTTACTATGTAGTCCTGGCTGGCCTGCATCATAATATAGACCAGGCTAGCTTGCCTCAAACTCTCAGAGCTATGCCTGCTTCTGCATCTCAAACACTGGTATTAAGGGCATGTGCCATTACACTTGATTTTTTTATTTTTATACTGGCTTCATGTAGCCCCAGCTGGCCTCGAACAACTGATTTTATTGTCTGCGCCTTTTTGAGTACTAAGATTACAGGCATGTGTCACCAGGCCTAGCTTCTATTTTCATTTATTTGTAACCTAGGGCTTCATACATGCTAGGCACAAGATCTACCTCTAAGCTACACCCTCAGCTCCAAGTGTACAGTGGATAAATAATAATCTTTTTAGGATGAAGCATCAATTGTTAGCAGTGAAAAGAGGAAAAAAGGTATAGCACATCTACAAAACAGGCCACCTGGTCAATGGAGTCAACTGGTTGGGCAGGACTATGTACATTCAGCACAGGGACAAGCTACCTCAGCTGGAAACCATTTAAGCACAACTACAGTTCATAAAACAATCATTCTAAGTAAACAGTTCTGTTCTAGAACAGATCATTGTAAATATAAAAGAACATTAAATACAGGATCTGTGCCCCAGAATGTGCCATCTGTTGTAGAAGACTTCCTAAATCAACTAGTCACTGTCATGCCTGCCCTTCTCTTCTCCTTTCATTTTGCCACAAATATTCATTAAGTATCAACTTTATATTTGCCATAACATTAGCGCTGGGATATGAAGAAGGCCGATAATCCACTTGTGACATCATTAACATTTTGTTAAAGAACATACTGATCTATCGTTAAGTGTTCCAGGTTGGGTTACTCTTTTCTTGTTCCTTAAATGTTATGTTCTGTTCCATCAGCTCTATTGCTCAAAATTATACCTGTCTCTCATATTCTTTTATAAATATAAAAGGACAAATATGGCTAAAGGAGCAACTTTAGAGATGGAGAACAGGAATGGGTAAATGCATGATCCTTTCTAATAAAGCTAGTGACAGAGCTTAGTAGGGAATTCAGGGCTCCTGAATGCTTTCCCATCTTTTCCATGTGCATCCCCCTCCTGACCATCATGGCAGAAGGACTTCTTGAACACATGTGGTTCAGAATGAAATTTCACAAATTTATTATGGTCTGCTTGTATGTTTACAGTTATTTGAACATGAGTATTATTTGTTTTGATCTTTTCTATAGATTTTCAATGAACCTTTTCAACTGTCCTATTCAAAGTAACCTCTAATTTGGGGAATTAGAGGTTATACTGTTGAGGCACCCTTGATATACACATATTATCTTATAATATTAGACTTTAAAAAAAATTTCAGGGGTTGGGGTTAAACTTAATCCACAAATCTACTTTTATAACCTGAAGTGTGCCTCTTGACACTACTCCTGTGGCCATCAAATGTCCTTGTAGAGTGAACTCTAAGCCAGCCTTGGTTACAGAGTGAGACCTTGTCTCAAAAGTTTGAAAAAGGAAAGAAGAAATAAAGGAAGGAAAAAAGGATGAAAGGAAGGAAGGAAGGAGAGAAGGAAGGAAGGAAGGAAGGGAAGGAGGGAGGGAGAAAGGAAGGGCGGGCTCATAAAAATTAAGAATATTTCTAGTATCAAAAGATGCCATGGAGAAAAGACAGTCTTCAAGATATAATTAATATCTACAAATCATGTATTTGATAAGAAAAAGGGCAAAGGACTCAAGTAGATATCTTTAAATAACCATAAAAGTCCAATAAGAATGTATTTATCCACAAACAGAAAGGTGAACATACAAATGTCGTATATAAATGCATACACACACACACACACAGTATTAATTCAATTATAAAAAGAAATGATACTACAATATAAACAAAAAGAACACTATGCTAATGAAAGACAACTATAAGAGGATAAATACCATGTTTCTGTTCACATTAGAAAAACAGAAAACCCCACACAGAAGAGACTATAGAGCAGAGATTTCTGTGGGGGAGCAGAGCTATTAGTTATTGGACTGCTAGAAATGCTAGTTCAGTAGTGAATCAAGTGATCTGAACAGATATCCTGCCCTCTTCCTGATGTTAACAGAAAACAGCTGTACTAATGCATTTGTAGCAAAGTGAAGTTTCTTTAATGAGGGCTGAGGTATAAGGATAAGTATTTAGAATGCAATAAAGAATTCTGTTGGTTTAGTAAAGTAGTTTAGAGGGTTTTCCTTTAAGACCCATTACCTCACTAGCCAAGAGAAGTTGGGTAAGCTTCCAGTACCAGGCATGATTTCTCTGAGTAGGCCTTTAAGTTTAATTAGAGAGGA